ATGAACACATACCTCCCGAATGGGCGCCTGACACGCCCCACACTTGGGCGAGAAGAGGGCGTGATAGTCAAAGTCACAGTACGGCAGACCATCCTTTTCACGGTATCCCTCACTTCCCAACGGTTTGTGACAAACGGCACAACAGAAGCAGTCCGGGTGCCAGTTATGACCCAATGCCGTAAGTACTTTCTGTTTGAGAATCAAAAATGTTAATTCATATAATAATAAATAAGTATTCAATGATAAGAATTACATCAGCAATGGGTAGTTTACATCCGTAACATTTAGGCAAAAACATCTCTTGAAAGTGTTTATTACAATAAGGCTTTCCATCCTTTTCTTTGAAATTATTGGGACTCAAAGGTATACCGCATTGATAGCACTTAAAGCAGTTCGGGTGCCACTGACGGCCCATCGCTACCAATGGCTAATTTAATGAATTAAATGTGTTAATTATATTTAATATTGTAAATTATTACAATGTCTTACAGTTCCTCTAATGGGAAGAAGACATTCCGAACATTTGGGCGAAAATAGTTTGTGATAATCGTCTTCACAATAAGGTTTGCCATTCTTTTCCATGAAATTACTGGGAGTGAGGGGTCGGTGACACTCATAGCAGTGAAAGCACTGTGGGTGCCAATTCTTGCCCATTGCCTTAACCATTGTTGACTGCAATTAACCAACAATTATATATAAAAACTCATACATAAGCATATGTATTGTGAAAAGAGTGTCGACTGACCGGATCAGTGATGGGAAGACTGCATCCATGACAGGGAGGAGCGAAGAGCCGATTGTAATCCCTTTCGCAATAAGGCTTTCCATTCTTTTCGCGAAAATGCGGTGGAGTTAAAGGAATGGCACATTCGGTACACTTGAAACACAATGGATGCCACGGCTTCCCCATCGCGTTCACTATTTGACCCTTTTATTGATACAACAATTTCATTAAATACTTATTAAATGATAGACACAAATGGCTCACATCAGTGATGGGGAACAGACATCCGCCGCACTTCGGAGAGAATAGTTTGTGGTAATCGTCTTCGCAATAGGGTTTGCCGTTCTTCTCGTAAAAGTTGTCCGGTTTGAGAGGAATCGCACATTGAGTGCATTTAAAGCAGTTCGGGTGCCAATCCTTGCCCTGCGCTCGGAGTATGTTTCCCTG